CCTTGCGGGCACTGCAGGATTTCAGTCCTTGTCGGCGTAGTGTGTTACCAATTGTTTTCTTGGTGACTGTGGTCCCAGCTGCCTGGAGATCATTGACAAGATCCTCACGTGTAGTTCTGGGATGATTCCTCACTGTTCTCATGATCATTGACACTCCACGAGGTGAGATCTTGCATGGTGCACCAGACCTAGGAGACTGACACTTGTTTTGTGTTTCTTACATTTGTGAATGATTGCACCAACTGTTGTCACCTTCTCATCAAGCTGCTTGGCGATAGTTTGGTAATCCAGTCCAGCCTTGTGTAGGTCTACAATCTTGTCCCTGACATCCTTGGACAGCTCTTTGGTCTTTGCCATGGTGGAGAGTTTGGAATCTGATGGTTTGATTGCTCCTGTGGACAGGTGTCTTTTATACAGGTAACAAAAAGAGATTAGCAGCACTCCCTTTAATAGACTGCTTCTAATCTCAGCATGTTACCTGTATGAAAGACACCTGGTAGCCAGAAATCCTGCTGAATGATAGGGGATCAAATACTTATTTCCCTCATGAACAAGCAAATCAGTCATCATTTGTTAGACGCATTTCTGCTGAATTTGTTCTTGCTATTCTGTCTCTCAGTGTTACAATACACCGAACATTCGATTTTTAGACCGATCATTTCTTTGTGAGGGGCAAACATTCAAAATCAGCAGGGGAGCAAATACGCATTTCCTTCACTGTAACAATCATGCTTCACTGCATATACAGACTGACTTTACTGTTGTGGGTTTGGTAACACTTTATAGTTTTGAACAAAACCGGAATAAGCAGTTTTACTTACCTGATCCTCCACTCCCACAGGCTCCTCTATGCTGCAAGACCGCCATCCACAGGCTCTAATCCCATATACTCCAGCAGTCAGATGCCCTTGACGTCCTCAAAACCGATGCAGGGCCCGTATACCTGCATTGGAGGCGAGGACATCGAGGAACAGTCCACTGCTGGAGCATAGGGGAGCATCATCTGCCGGTGGATCTGGTAAGCGAAACTGCTGTAGGTAAGTGAAATAAGTTTTTAAAGTAGAACTATAGGCAATTCTATTGGATGGAGTAAGGGAGGGTTATAACCCCTGTCAGCTTTATTTTTCCCATCTTTGTCAAATTGGGGAGATTTCCCTTTACTTCCTCTCCCATAGCCAAAACAGGAAGTGAGAAGAAATCCCTGCAAATGAAGGTAATCCCTTGGGCCCCCCCAGAACCAGTGTTCCCATTGGAAGATTTTCCCACTATTACTGTTCGGGGGACAACCCAACATTGGAGATTTTCTGTACTTTCACTTTCAATGATAATGGTAAACAGGACAAAAAGTGAGGGGGAATCTCCCTAATGGGGGGCAGAGACAGCAATACAAACTGACAGGGGTTCTAATCTCTCTCCACTCTATCCACAAAAAAAAAAGTTTTGCCTTTAGTTATACTTTAACCCTCGCAGTGCGGTGATTTTTACTCTTCGCGGAGTCAGGTTTTTATGGAATAAAGCAGAATGAGATGAGGAAACCTGTTCCTGTGAAAACGGTCTAAGAGGGGACTTTCCTGTCCTTGGGGGGGGTGTATGGTGTTAGTTCATCTTTTCTTTTTTTCTGTAAGGGTGAACTAACCCTTTAAAGTGACTGTAAACCCTTCCATCTCCCCAGTGAAGTGGCTATCTTCAGGTGATACAAATCCTGTCACAGCGTGAGGAAAGTACTGCCGAGGAACGACAGCTGTCACAGAGCAGATCGGCACTAACCAACAGTGCTACCCAGCAGCAGTTGTGCCCATCGGTGCCGCCCAGCAGTGCCTCAAGTCAGTACAGTCAGTCAGTGCTGTCAGTCAGCACCGCCCGTCAGTGTCGCCCATCAGTGCCTCCTATCAGTGCCCATCATTGCTGCATATCAGTGTAGCATCATCAGTGCCTCCTCCTCAATGCTCACCAGTGCTGCCTCATCAGTGCAGCCTATCAGTGCCCATCACTGCTGCCTATCCATGCCACTTCATCAGTGCCCATCAGTGTTGCCTATTAGTGCTGCCTACCAGTGCCCATCAGTTCTACCTACCAGTGCCCATCAGTGCTGCCTATCAGTGCCACCTCATCAGTGCCCATCAGTGTTGCCTATCAGTTCTGCCCATCAGTGCCCATCAGTGTTGCCTATCAGTGCCCATCAGTTCTGCCCATCAGTGTTGCCTATCAGTGCACATCAGTGCTGCCTATGAGTGCCCATCAGTGCTGCCTATCAGTGCCACCCAGGGGCAGACTGACCATTTTGAAACTCGGGCACTGCCTGAGGGCCCGGAATCAGTAGGGGGCCCCATGAGATGCCCCTGGAACATTTTTCATAGGCTTTTTTGAAGTTTGGGAGAGGACACAGGGGCCCCATGATCCCCTATTGCCTGGGGGCCCCATGAGTTGTCAGTCCGCCCCTGGTGCCACTTCATCAGTGCCCATCAGTGTTGCCTATCAGTGCCCATCAGTTCTGCCTATCAATGCAGCCTCATCAACGCATATCAGTGAAGGAGAAAATTACCCGTATGCAAAATTGTATAATAGAAACAAAGAAAGACTTTTTTTTTTCCAATTTTTAATTTTTTGCTCTTTTTTTGTCCTTCACGTCAGCGCTGAAAGCTGAAAATTGGCCTGGACCGGAAGGGGGTATAAATGCCAGGTAGGCAAGTGGTCAACACTTGCAGAGTGGAGGCAGCCTGACTGCAGAAGAGGAATTTTTACGTTCCCCGGAGTTCAGCTTTAATTACTGGCGACAGCAATCAATAAGACAAATACAGAGAATGAATGTTTGTGAAGGAAAGTAGTGAAAACCCAACAAGGGTTCTAACCGTTCCCTACTCCATCCAAAATGGAAAAAAACAAGTATTGATTTTAGATAGACTTAAAGTGATACTAAACCCCAGACCCTGCATTCACTATATATGGTGTCCCCGGACCCTGCATTCACTATATCCGCTCTCCCGGACCCTGCATTCACTATATCCGCTCTCCCCGGACCCTGCATTCACTATATCCGCTCTCCCCGGACCCTGCATTCACTATATCTGGTCTCCCCGGACCCTGCATTCACTATATATGGTGTCCCCGGACCCTGCAATCACTATATCCGCTCTCCCCGGACCCTGCATTCACTATATCCGCTCTCCCCGGACCCTGCATTCACTCTATCCGGTCTCCCCGGACCCTGCATTCACTATATCTGGTCTCCCTGGACCCTGCATTCACTATATCCACTCTCCCCGGACCCTGTATTCACTATATCTGGTCTCCCCGGACCCTGCATTCACTATATCTGGTCTCCCTGGACCCTGCATTCACTATATATGGTGTCCCTGGACCCTGCAATCACTATATCCACTCTCCCCGGACCCTGCATTCACTATATCCGGTCTTCCCGGACCCTGCATTCACTATATATGGTGTCCCTGGACCCTGCAATCACTATATCCACTCTCCCCGGACCCTGCATTCATTATATCCGGTCTCCCCGGACCCTGCATTCACTATATATGGTGTCCCTGGACCCTGCAATCACTATATCCACTCTCCCCGGACCCTGCAATCACTATATCCACTCTCCTAGGACCCTGCATTCATATATCCGGTCTCCCCGGACCCTGCATTCATTATATCTGGTCTCCCCGGACCCTGCATTCACTATATCCGGTCTCCCCGGACTCTGCATTCACTATATCTGGTCTCCCTGGACCCTGCATTCACTATATCTGGTCTCCCCGGACCCTGCATTCAATATATCGGTCTCCCCGGACTCTGCATTCACTATATCCAGTCTCCCCCGACCCTGCATTCACTATATCCGCTCTCCCCGCACCCTGCATTCACTATATCTGGTCTCCCCGGACCCTGCATTCACTATATCCGCTCTCCCCGCACCCTGCATTCACTATATCCTCTCTCCCCGGACCATGCATTCACTATATCCGCTCTCCCCGAACCTTGAATTCACTATATCTGCTCTCCCCGGACCCTGCATTCACTATATCCGCTCTCCCCGGACCCTGCATTCACTATATCCGGTCTGCCCGGACCCTGCATTCACTATATCCGGTCTGCCCGGACCCTGCATTCACTATATCCGTTCTCCCCGGATCCTGCATTCACTATATCCGGTCTCCCCGGACCCTGCATTCACTATATCTTACCCTGCATTCACGCTCTCCCCGGACCCTGCATTCACTATATCCGGTCTGCCCGGACCCTGCATTCACTATATATGGTCTCCCCGAACCCTGCATTCACTATATCCGGTCTCCCTGGACCCTGCATTCACTATATCCACTCTCCCCGGACCCTGCATTCACTATATATGGTGTCCCTGGACCCTGCAATCACTATATCCACTCTCCCCGGACCCTGCATTCACTATATCCGGTCTCCCCGGACCCTGCATTCACTATATCCGGTCTCCCCGGACCCTGCATTCACTATATCCGGTCTCCCCGGACCCTGCATTCATTATATCTGGTCTCCCCGGACCCTGCATTCATATATCCGGTCTCCCCGGACCCTGCATTCATTATATCTGGTCTCCCCGGACCCTGCATTCACTATATCCGGTCTCCCCGGACTCTGCATTCACTATATCTGGTCTCCCCTGGACCCTGCATTCACTATATCCGCTCTCCCCGCACCCTGCATTCACTATATCTGGTCTCCCCGGACCCTGCATTCACTATATCCGCTCTCCCCGCACCCTGCATTCACTATATCCGCTCTCCCCGCACCCTGCATTCACTATATCTGGTCTCCTCGGACCCTGCATTCACTATATCCGCTCCCCCCGTACCCTGCATTCCCTAATCCGGTCTCCCCGAACCTTGAATTCACTATATCTGCTCTCCCCAGACCCTGCAGTCACTATATCCGCTCTCCCCGGACCCTGCATTCACCTTATCCGCTCTCCCCGGTCCCTGCATTCACTATATCCGGTCTGCCCGGACCATGCATTCACTATATATGGTCTCCCCGGACCCTGCATTCACTATATCCGCTCTCCCCGGACCCCGCATTCACTATATCCGGTCTCCCCGGACCCTGCATTCACTATATCCGTTCTCCCCGGACCCTACATTCACTATATCTGGTCTGCCCCGGGACCCTGCATTCACTATATCTGGTCTCCCCGGACCCTGCATTCACCTTATACGCTCTCCCCGGACCCTGCATTCACTATATCCGGTCTGCCCGGACCCTGCATTCACTATATCCGGTCTGCCCGGACCCTGCATTCACTATATCCGTTCTCCTCGGACCCTGCATTCACTATATCCGGTCTCTCCCCGGACCCTGCATTCACTATATCCGGTCTCCCTCTCCCCGGACCCCGCATTCACTATATATGGTCTCCCTGGACCCTGCATTCACTATATCCGGTCTCCCCGGACCCCGCATTCACTATATCTGGTCTCCCCGGACCCCGCATTCACTATATCCGGTCTCCCCGGACCCCGCATTCACTATATCCGGTTTCCCCGGACCCCGCATTCACTATATCCGGTCTCCCCGGACCCCGCATTCACTATATCTGGTCTCCCAGGACCCCGCATTCACTATATCCGCTCTCCCCGGACCCTGCATTCACTATATCCGCTCTCCCTGGACCCTGCATTCACTATATCGGTCTCCCCGGACCCCGCATTCACTATATCCGCTCTCCCCGGACCCCGCATTCACTATATCCGCTCTCCCCGGACTCTGCATTCACTATATCCGCTCTCCCTGGACCCTGCATTCACTATATCCGCTCTCCCTGGACCCTGCATTCACTATATCCGCTCTCCCCGGACTCTGCATTCACTATATCCGCTCTCCCCGGACTCTGCATTCACTATATCCGCTCTCCCCGGACCCTGCATTCACTATATCCGCTCTCCCCGGACCCTGCATTCACTATATCCGCTCTCCCCGGACTCTGCATTCACTATATCCGCTCTCCCCGGACTCTGCATTCACTATATCTGCTCTCCCACAGTACACACAACACGGAAATGCAAGTATTGTAGTAAATATAAACTGCTAAATACCTTTTCTCATCAGCCGTATATAGCAGTCTTGTGACTTCAGCAGAGCACTGGTTAAATCTTGTAGGAGTTTTCTTTCTGCTCTAGAGGATGCAGAACCCCTGGCCCTCTGTCTGGACAGAGCTGATTGGTCCTGTGCTGATCACATGCAGTCTCCCAAGAGAAAAAAAAAAAGCTCTCTAGCAATACACACCAAACTGAGCATGTGCATGTGACGACGGATTCAGTCTGTATCAAGTGGACACTTTAACAAGAGGAGGGGCAGAGAAGACAGGATCAAACAGCGTTTTTACACATGCAGAGGATTAACCCCTTAGGTCCCACAGTCAGTATAACAAGCATGCTCTACTGCATCTACAGACTGATTGTACTGTTGTGGGTTCAGTAACAGCGAAGATTAAGATGCAGCTCCATAGCCTCTCTGCTACGTCCTTCTGGGTGCTCAGACCTGTTACTGGGATCGATGCAATCATAAAAGCGGACGTCTCCTTTAAGCCCACCCAATCACCCCCCTGCCCACTACAGCCGACACATCGACGCCTCCATGGACTCGTCCACAAAGCACCTCGGAAATGATCGTTGTCATATCCACATAAAATAATTTCCAGACAAAAGCTGACGACTTACCAGAGAGCAGCCAGGGACAGCAGCAGCTCGGCTACTTTTACTTTCACTTTTTCCTTTCTGTAAATGATAGCTTGTTGGTGCTTACAATAAATGTCTGACAAACACTCGGGGAAGTTCCAGAAATGAATCATGGGTTCGGAATGTCTGAGAAGGGCTCAAAACGGGATTCTGAGTCACTCTACGACACCGTAGACCCGTCCAAGGTACGTAGACCGGATGTGTCATGTGACCCATAGCCTCAGTTGTCTGAAAGTCAATGTAAACCCTGAATAACATGACGTTGGCTGTCGTATACAACTGCCATTTTTTATACCCTTCGCCTTTAATGACGGGAGCCAGCACGCCTTCTCTATCACCTGACCGATGTCACAGCAGTCACATGATTGGAAGCCCATCCGGCTGGTTCCTCTGTTATTAGCACTGCTGACATGTTTACCTGACACCAAGAGCAAAAAAGGTGACAGAGGCGGGATCACCAGCGCACAGCCTGTGTGTAACGGAACCGGACCCCGACTGCACTTGGGTATTTCCGTTAGACTCCCGCTTCCCTGTCTGAACACAGATCCACGGACCCCACCGCTGACCACACAGGACGAAACAGCACCAGACTCGTCATAAAACAGGAAATGGACTGCTTTATTTTAACAAAGATACAAGATAGGGCGGGGCAAGACATTTAGTAACAAGAGATGCACAGCAGACACCCCCCACCAAGCCAATACACAAACACATACAGTACATCCCATAATAGTTTGCTGCCAAGCAAGACACACAATAGAACAATGGGACCACCTGGCAGTAAACAATGAACAACCCCACACCCCACCTATACATGTCTACACAGGGGTGGACTGACAACTCATGGGGCCCCCGGGCAATAAGGGATCATGGGGCCCCTGTGTCCTCGCCCACACTCAAACCACACCCAAAAAAAGCCTATAAAAAGGTACCAGGGGCATCTCATGGGGCCCAGTACTGACCCGGGCAGTGCCCGAGTGCTCGAATGGTCAGTCCGCCCCTGTGTCTACACAATATCAGGAAATTTAACCCTGTACTCCTAACAGGCACAGGGTGAGTTACACATAACAGGGATATGGGGAGCTGAGACAGGAGTCTCCCCACCTCTCCAAAGGGGGTTGTGTTCCATGGGCCCCCCACCCAGAGTGACTCCCGTCACACTGTGATTGACAGTGTCAGCTCTCTTCCTGTGTGCTGTGCGAAGGGGGATGTGTCCCTTCCCTCCAATCAGCTTTCAAAGCTCTTGCATAGTGTGAAACCGCGGCTCTCCGCCCCCCTGCTTTGTGAGGCTGTGAAAAAAACCTTTTCATCTCTGCGTTTTATAAGGATGTAAAGGACAAATGGCTGCAGATAAACAGGTACAACTTATGCAGGGGGCTGTGTTTCCCCCCTTCACTGGGTATAGGTAAGGGTTTACAGCCACTTGCCGGACGCACCTTTCCGGTTCTGGAGGCACATCCATGGATGTCCTACCATGTGCGCCCCTCCTGTGCGCACCCTGGAGGGCTCACCGGGCATGCTCTGTGACTGCTGTTTCTTTTGAACACAGAATGCAGTAAAAGCCCAATCATAGCTGGTTACATGTACACAGAATTGCCGGTTATCGGCTTTACCTTAGATTGTACGCCCCTTGAGGGTTAGGGACCTTAGATTGTACGCCCCTTGAGGATTAGGGACCTTAGATTCTACGCCCCTTGAGGGTTAGGGACCTTAGATTCTACGCCCCTTGAGGGTTAGGGATCTTATATTGTACGCCCCTTGAGGGTTAGGGACCTTAGATTGTACGCCCCTTGAGGGATATGGACCTTAGATTGTACATCCCTGGACGGTTAGGGACCTTAGATTGTACGCCCCTTGAGGGTTAGGGACCTTAGATTGTACGCCCCTTGAGGGTTAGGGACCTTAGATTGTACACCCCTTGAGAGTTAGGGACCTTAAATTGTACACCCCTTGAGAGTTAGGGACCTTAGATTGTACGCCCCTTGAGAGTTGGGGACCTTAGATTGTACTCCCCTTGAAGGTTAGGGATTGAGGTAAATATACAATATATATGTAAAGCATAAAATGATGGCGCTATACAAGTACCTTAAATAAATAAATTCCCTTTCCTCACCCAATGGAGATGATTTACTATAGGTAAACAGGCTGCAAGTGCAGATCAGAGGAGAAGCTGTGAAATGAGGCAAAACTCTGCTGTTTTCTTTCATCCAATTACGTGCAAGTAAAAATGCTGTTTTTTTTGTTTTGTTTTTTTTTTTTTTCATTTTCCTTGCATGTTCCCCTCCAATCTAGAGCAGCTGCATTTTCAGCGTACTTGCAGTGCACAGCCTATCTGCCTTTAGTAAGTCTAGGTTTACACCTATATGTTTTACGTTGCATTTTGTAGAAACGCACAGCAGTCCATTTATTATTATTATACAGTATTTATATAGCGCCAATAGTTTGCTCAGCGCTGTACATTATAGTGGGGGACAGAACATGAGACAATACAGTAACAATACAATACACGAGGGGTTCGAGGGCCCTGCTCCTTGGAGCTTACAATCTAGGAGGGAGGGGATAGTGGTACAGGAGGAAGTGGCTGTGGGGGGATGAAGTGGTAGGATGAGTGGAGGAGATTGGCTGTTAGGTGAGGGTGGGGTAGGCTTCCCTGAAGAGATGGGTTTTCAGGGTGCACCTAAAGGTGAGGAGGGTAGATGACAGCCTGATGGATTGGGGTAGTGAGTTCCAGGCGATGGGGGAAGACCTGGAGAAGTCCTGGAGTCGGGCATGGGAGGAGGAGACCAGTAGGAGGTCTTGTGAGGAGCGAAGAGTACGGGTTGGGTGGTAGATGGATATCAGGTCGGTGAGGTAGTTTGGGGCAGTATTATGAATAGCTTTGTATGTCAGAGTTAGTAGTTTGAATTTAATGCGTTGGGCAATCGGGAGCCAGTGGAGGGAATGTCAGAGGGGGGTGGCAGAAGAGGAGCGGTTGGTTAGGTGGATGAGTCTGGCCGCTGAGTTCAGGATAGACTGAAGCGGGGATTGCCTGTGGTGAGGTAAGCCAGTGAGGAGGGAGTTACAGTAATCGAGTCGTGATATAATAAGGGAGTGAACGAGTTGCTTAGTAGTGTTTGGGGTGAGGAATGTGCGTATTTTGGAGATGTTGCGGAGGTGGAGTCTGCATAAATTTGCCAGCGATTGGACATGGGGTGGGAAGGATAGGTTGGAGTCTAGAGTGACACCTAGAACTTTGGCTTGCGGGGTGAGACTGATGGTGGCGTTATTGGTCACGATGGAGAGGTTGGGGGGGGGGCGGGGCTTGGGGGAAAACTAGGAGCTCGGTTTTTGACAGGTTTAATTTGAGGAAGTGGAGTGACATCCAGTCTGATATGTCGTTCAGTAGGTTAGTGATTCGGGCGGAGACTGAAGGGGTGAGGCGAGGGGTAGAGAGGTAGATTTGCGTGTCATCGGCGTAGAGGTGATAGTTGAAGCCGTGGGAGTGTATCAGTTGGCCAAGGGAGGAGGTGTAGATGGAGAAGAGAAGGGGCCCGAGGACAGAGCCTTGGGGGACCCCAACAGAGAGGGGGAGAGAGGGGGAGGTGGCAGCGTAATAGATAACACTGAAGGAGCGCTGGGATAGATAGGAGGAGAGCCACGAGAGAGCGGAGTCTCTGATGCCAAGGGAGTATAGA